GCTCTCTCAAACAAAGATTTACCCATGGTATCTAACTGTGGAGGATGGTCCACTCTCACAGATAGCTAACGTGGAGCTATAAATCCGAGTTAGGAATCCTGATAACATATTGAGCCTCACTGTAAGTAGAAAAAAGACCCATATTGATAAATAATTAAACGGTGATTCCCAAAAACATCCCTTACAGTTAGCTACCGTGGGTAAATGGTCCCCCCGTGAACGGGTTTTTATGATAATTTTATTATTTCATAGGTTGTTACTTCAGCGGTGGTCTTATGTAAATAAAAAAATACATAAGCATACATGCAAAATAGTGCATGAAGTTTTTAATGTAACTATTTAGAAAATATAGAAATTGCGATATTTCTTAGTGCACTAAGTTACATTTTAATAAAAAGCAAAAGCGGAGTGCAAATGTCCAAAAAGAATTAAATATTTTCACATTTTGAATTTTGAACTTTTAATCAGACTGACCGAATTAAAAATGATAAATTATTTTATTCCTTATGGTTTATTGAACTTGGCTTGTATCTTTAATAAAAGTTATTTTTAATGGTCGTGGTGTCACTTCACATACTATATTTTTAATAATCCAATAATCAGCTTAAGTTATAATTTTTGATAATTGTTTGCATAATCTATAATTACTACTATTATAGGTATTAATTATTCCTATAAATAAATATATATAATTAATAAATTGATGTCGATGAGTTAGCCATTCTAAACAAGGTAGAAAAATTTATGATTATTTAAAAAAATATATTTTTTATGAATTCGTTACAGCCTATCAATGTCCTCTTCGAAACGCCGGCCTCCCCTTATATTGCCTTATAAGAGCGATATTTGCCACAGATGTCGCGCTTGGTAAGTGGGTTCGCAACCGGCGTTTTAGCTGTTATCAGTAAGATGTTACTGCCCATCTCCATCCCTATCCCTCCTTCAGCTTTCCTCTGTCGCCTCTGAAGACAGCTACCGGATGAGATGAGGTAGTTTATATTCTTACACCGTCACTACACGGTCATCAAAGATAATTGACTTAAGGATAGCAGGGGATTAACATACACCTTCACTTCAGTCAGACTAAAGCTGCGAGTAGACCATATATTAATTTCACTTGGACAAGCATCTGGAATTGAGTCAATTACTTGTATGCTATACAACAGAATAAATAATAGTACGCTATACAAACGCGGACTTCGTGCACGATTTAAACCTGCGCAACACCTCAGCCACATCTTTGCCCCAGCATCAGCTATCAAGCCATTTCCATTTCAACCATTGTATTTTGTATTGGGTAGGTTTATGACCACTCACAACAGGAATTGCAAGCCTTAAAATATTAAAATGTTTATTGCAATCGTCAGTCTGGCTTCCAAGATAAGCTGATATATATATTGGTATATACTGATAAGATAAGCTATCGTGGCAGATTTTCATAACTTAGAGAGTCAATGGAATGTCACAACTTCTAAAGTGAGATACGGAATAAAATCATAAAAGAACAATGTGTGTTTTATTTTATTGTTTTACAATACGATTTCGAAAGTTACTAAAATAAGCAAAATTAAATTACTAAAATCTTTAACGTAGTTAAATTAATAATAATTCCATTAAAATAAACGTCCTTTTAAGGTATAAAATACCAGAGCTACGAGTAACTGTATATGCTCGTAAATAGTAGAGAGGGTCATTTTTCATTACTGTATGTTAGTTCAAAAAACGAACGAAATAAAACGAGACCGTTGAAAGATATTGCAGCGTTTCCAAACAACTAGGACTTTGTAGTGCAAAGCTCTCGAACTTTTGTGCAATTTTGTTTCTGTAAAAATGACATTATCTTTCTTAAGATACAGAAAAAAATTTTTACGTGATTCATAAAATTCAAGAGTTTTTTACCGATTTCCAAAAACAAGACTATTCTATATTCGACTGGTATGTTTGAATGTATGTTCACCGATTTTACGGAAACGGCTGAGCCGATTTTAATTACTCGTAATACCACTGAAGAATAAATATTTTTAATTAATAGATTATAATTCCATTCTTTTTTTGACATTAGTACATTAATCTCTTTGTTTTTTTTTTTTTGCGAATTTCTATCATTTTTAACCAACGCAATGGTGAAATACATGAATAGACATTATTGCTCCTTATGAAAGTATATAGCAATTGTATAATTATGTATAATAATACGAATTTTAATGGAAAATTTAAACTTTGTATTTAACAATTGCCTATATATTAGTTGAGTTAAAAGTAATATACAGGTTTTCTATTTTGACTGATTGTTTTCGTATATTGAGTGATTATTATCGCTAACATTGAATTGATTTTAAAGTTTTTTTTATAGGAAAAGCCCACACAACAAGACAAGAGTAGGAAAATAGGGGATGAAGATTTAGAAGTTAAATTATTATGCTCCAAGATGAATTTGCATTGAAAGTATGTTGGCTACGTCGACACTACATGTTATTTTCAACCACGGTACATATTTTCACTTAAAAAGGTACGTAAACGTGCATAAATACTGATACCTAAGCTACTGCTGCTGCTGCTGCTGCAAACTGCTGGGGAGTCTATGTGCTATGTAGTACATACACTTCCCCCAAAATTGTTAGATGATTTTATTAAGTTTAATGAAGGTGAAAACTATAGGCTGTACCGTCATCTGAACTCACGTCATGCTTTTTCAATCTAATATTAAAAGCATATCCCGACAAAATACAAACAATAGAAGCGCTGATAGAATATATTTGAATTTATATTTGGAATCAACTCTCAGGTGAAAGATCTGGTGGGTTTGAGCGCTTGATTATAGTAACGAATGTCGTATATAATGGACATAACATATTTTAAGGAATTAATATTCAAAAAATAAAACCCGACGATATTATGACCAATGTAATATATATAAAATATTCAATAAATTTGCTTATTTATTTACAAAACTTTCAATTTTGAACATTCTGGTCTGGAGATTATTTAAAAACTGACTTCAAAACTAATATAAAGTGTTAAAATAGTTTTAATTATTTTATTATTACCTATTTCAACACAAATATAACTTCAAACGCTGATACTGAGACAAAATGTGTATCGCAATATTGAAGTATCGACCTCATAAGCTATTATAAATTACGTTGGCATTTTAGTTCATTGAAGTCGGGTTTTAAGATTTTTTAAAACTTAAATTATCCTACTCAATGAAAAGTCTCTTTGATAAAGGTCGGCTAAAAAGAATAGTTGGAATTATAAAATATGACATAACAAATAATCTAATTTTAGTATGATTTCATAATCTTGAAATATGTACGAAGTTGGAAGAATGGGTGAATTAACGGTCAAATGCCCTTTGTAAGCCGATGTATGCAGGTGGCTCTGGACCGTACTTTGTACGATTACTTGGCGGAAGCTTATATTCAGTAGTGGACTACCTCGTTGTTCTATTGACTATAAACGTGACTCCTAATCATAAGGTCCCGTGTTCAAATCCCAAGTTAGGCCAAAAATCAATTATTGAGTTTTTCCTTCAAGAAATTCTCAGTAGCTGCACCGAGTCAGGAAGTTGTGATATCTCACCCCCGTACATCGGAAAACACGTAAAGCCGTTGGTCCTGCGCTTGATGCTTTAGTGTACGGCCATATCGGTTAACCATACCATCGGACTATGAGAGCGAGGAATAGAGAGTACACCTATGTTTGCGCATACACTTGGGCACTCTAATCCTGTCTTGCGCCGATGGCGTGTCTCTATTGGGGCTGGCCGCCGTGACTGAAATTCGGTCTGGAGGACATTATTATTATTATTTCTGACGTTTCTAGTAGGTATGCCATGTAGTATCGATAGAGAATCTTCCTGATAACAGCTCAAAAAAATCTGAAATTGACAACCCATCTGCAAAGAGTGACAACTGTGGCCAATAATCCCTAGCAATCATATAAGGGGAGGCCCAAACTTTGGATCACCTATATGATGCCTATGTTTGACATTGAACTTTTGATAGGCTGTAATGAATGATGAAGAAAGGAATGAAATTTTAAGAACTTTGGGGGTGCCCCAAACTTTTTCACGTGGAGTACGTAGGTGTTCAACATCCTGAAGTCATACTTAACTCTGTTTTAAAGAATAACAAGTAGTATTAAATTTCCATACATTATTGCAGATTAAGCTCTTTTTATCTTTTATCTGTAAATCTTAGTAAATTAACCTCGTTTATGATTTCCGAGAAGTAGCGCTTGACTATCGTAAGCAATTATTTAGAGTGTAACAAGAGAACCTTTAGATCTTGTTACATCTAATCTTCCAAACTAAGAGTCGTAAATCGCAGTACTGAACCGTTCATGTTAATGAAATTTTATCGAATAAAATTTATAATACTTCAAAGCAAATAAATTAATTAATAATTAAAATAAAATCAAAGTAAAAATGTGTCTCCAAAAATATTGCGCCTTTACGTGGGACGTGAAAACTATCTAAATGTCATCAGTGTCTGTCCCCTACGCTAGACAAATCTGATGAAATTAAGGACAAATTTTACGAAGAATTGACGCAGTGCATAGCTCGTATCCGTCCAAAGGAGCAAATCCTTCTCTTGGGTGACTTTAATGCCCGAGTAGGACGAGATTATGGCGCCTGGCCGAAAGTTATGGGCAGACATGGTGTTAGTAAAATGGACAGCAGCGGCCAACCGTTGCTTAGTTTTTGTGCACAATTAGATCTTGCAATTACAAATACTATATTCAGATTACCAGCCAAGTACAAGGCAACGTGATGCACCCCAGATTGAAGCATTGGCACCTTATCGATTACGCTATCATGCGTCAAAAAGACATCTCTCAAGTCCTAGTCACCCGTGTCATGCGTGGGGCTCATTGTTGGACTGATCACAGTTGTTATTGTTGTTGTTATTAAATTAAATCTTCGTCTTCCACATCCTTGTGGATCTAAAAGATCTAAACAGATACGTCTGAACCTTGAACGACTCCAAGATACTAACATGAGGGCTAAATATGCCGAAACCTTGAGCACTGCTCTGCAGCCCCTCGACCTAAAATCAAGTGAGATCAATACTATCTGGGAGTTTCTATCTTCTCATGTTCTCGACACTGCTAAATCTACTTTAGGTTTGAGAGTTCGAAAATATGAGAACTGGTTTGATGATAATGATGAGGTACTTACGGACGCTATTGAGAAACACCGTACGCTCCTAGAGCAGCACAGTAGAACTCATCAGAGTGGAAGTGTTAAGGAGTTGCGTCATAGTGATCTGGATCTGCGTAAACTCGCAAGACAAGCGAAAGATAAGTGGTGGCAGGAGAAGGCACGTCAGATGCAGTGGCTCGCTGATACCAACCAGCTCGGTGAGTTTTATACTGAGGTGCGACATCTGCTCTGTACATCCTCTGTGGCAAAAGTTCCACTAAATTCAACTAGTGGTGAAGCGCTTTTTAAAAGCAGGGAAAAATATTCGAGCGATGGGCGGAGCATTTCAACACCCTACTTAACGTTGATCATTTTGTTGACTTAGACCATGTTCGCTGCCTACCTCAGCAACCTTTCGCCCTCGAGCTCGATAAGCCAGTCTCGCCTAACGAGGTTGCTCTTGCCATTAAGCAATATCAAAATAAACGCACGGTTGGTGTTGACTTTGTACCGGGTGAATTATTGAAGTATGGCGGTGAGGATTTGTATTCGGCGATATGGGAACTTTTTGTCATTATGTGGGAAAAAGAACAAGATCCTAAAACTTTCAAGGTATCCCTCATACGAGCCCTATACAACATGTCCCAAAATTCAACGATAAGCTAACACCGTAGGATAGACCTGCCCCGGAATAATCGGGGAAAAAAGAAAAAAAATATATCCCAATTATATTTTAAGTTATATAAAAAAAATGAAATTCTTTATAAATTGAGACTGTTTATGATATTTTTTTCTAACATGACCACAATTTTTTTAATATTTGTTTCTTTTTTATAGGCAACCTGAATAGCACTGCTATCTACCGCAATTCTTAAAAAATCCAGAACAATTCTTGTTTTATCACGAAAATTATTGAAACTTATTTTATTCCCTAAAATTTTGAAGACTTTTACTTTTAACCAACTTTAACTTATCGTGGTGAAAAAAAATATGAACACTAGTATGGCAAGTTTTTTTTTAAAATTGACGCAACTAACCAACATTCCAAAATGGTATAATACTCTAGGAAAACAAGTATTAACAAAATATGGGACTATTATTTCTTAACAGGGGCCAAATGACGGTCGGGTGTAATAAAAGTATTAGTTCTTGAAAAATGTTTAATATTTCAAAACAAATGGTGCAAACAGTTTCACGTGTAATTTATTAAGTTATTAACATTATAGCCAATGTTCGAACTGTTTTCCACCAGCATTAATACATACACGACATCGCCTTAAAAATGATGGTTTTATTTATCTTGCATATCTTCTGCTATTAATGTAATCAGCAGCCTGAGTGATATTTCGACGAAGCTCGTCCAATATCGCAATGGGTTTTGAGTAGACCCTGCTTTTAAGACAACCCCAATAGAAGAAGTCCAGGGGGTTCAAATCGGGTGAACGGGGTGGCCATAAGATAGGACCAAGTTGCCCGATCCAACGCCCTGGATACTCTTGATTTAAATATTCTCGCACAGGACGGGCATAATGTGCTGGGCAATCATCATTTTGGAACCACATGTTTTGGAGATCACTTAGGGCACGTCGTCTAACAATTCTTGCAAGTCATTTTGTAAAAAGTTTAAATAACTATTACCATCTAAGTTTCCTTGTAACTCAAAGGGCCCAATTACTTTTCCACTTAATATCTATCTATCGTCCATAGGTTAACCTTGAATTGATATTGGGATTTGTCTTGTCTCATCAAGTGCGGATTTTCATTACTCCAACTTTGTAGGTTGTGAAGATTTAAATACCCATCTTTCTTGCATGTTGTTACATCCGACCATAGAATTTTGTCTAGGAATTGGGGATCTTCATTGACATTGACATTGAATGTCTTATTATTAATGAAGAAAGTCACCAAATAATAGTGAAAGAAAATGAGTGAGTACTCTATATACATACATTTTATTATTATCACAAATGCAGTACTAATTTTGAATTGAAAATATAATACTGCTATAAAGATAACCTAAATTATTGATATTAAAATGAGCGATATTAAAAGTAGCCCTCTTTATATACACACAAACACACACACGCGTATAGTTTAAATTCTCAATTTAGATTCTCAATATATATTAGAGATGGGCCGAAATTCGGTACAAGAAAAATAATACCTACTTGCACTTATTTTAACTGAAATATAAGGTGCTTCTAAACTATAATATGCCATGGCTGCAACTGGTGGTTCTACTCATGATACTGTACCATTTTCCACAAGGAACCCATAGTCAATTCTCAAAAAAAAAATTGCACTTTGTATGGAAATCGGTCAGCTGATTGGTCAAGTCTCCATACAAACAACCGTGGCATATATTTTAGAAGCACCTTATATAACAACATTAGATACTGTAAAATAAAAGATATTATTTTTACTCATTCATGGTCAATTATTTATTTATTTATTTCGGAACATTGTAAATGTAAACCTTATATTAAATCAGTTCCTATCTTATCATTAATCTTCATCTTAGTTCTTAACCTTAATCTTAGTTAATAAGTTATTAATCTTAGAAATCCCTGCCTAATTAATAATTAGCCATATTACAAAAACAAAATAAACTTTGTATTCTCCTAGTAAACATCTGGATAGGAGTCCGTAAATTAAATAAAAAAATAATGTTTTTGATTTAACATTCATTAATCTCAAGTATTTTTTATTACAATTAAAGGGTATTTGTTTTAAACAATCATATTAAACTAACTTTTCTTGTCTATCTAGTCATATTTAAAATTTACCAGAGTCAGGTTATGGTGCAAAAATACCAAAGATCTGCCTTATCTGGCAGAAGTTTGTTACGTTTTTTTTTCGTAGGTATATGTTTCCTGCGGTGTGCGGTCGGGGTATTTGAAGTAAATGCGTAAACAAGTCACGACGCGTCGCTCTCGAGAAAGCGTGCGAAAATGAACCGAAGTTCGGCCGAAGTTCGGATTCGATTCAAATCACATTCGGCCCATCTCTAATATATATATATCACAATATTGATTCTACGTCCTGTCATTTCGCATTATTGTAGCGTCCACCACTTGTAAGCAATTTTAATACATTATGACTGCAAATATTGGTCCATTAAACAATTTCAAAGATAGTGTTTAACTCATTTCTTTGAAAATTTACCATATATCGATATACAAATATTCGTATAAAGCCAGACGGAGGAAAACCAATAAGGACTCCCCTTCCATATTACAAATTATCCAGAATCCCCGTAATATACATAGTTTTTAATTCATTCTCCTGCTTAAGGTGACACTAGTCGACATTATTTCCATAGAAATTTCGGAGGGGTTTTACTCCGCTGTTTGACAGTGTACATCAACAGTACATACAAGTGACAGTTAAACATGATATCGTTTTGTCTCATTATTAATTTTGTCTGTACGGAAACAATAGTAAAATAAAAAGTCATTAAAAAGTTACGAGCTATCAAAGATTCGTTTTTATTTCCAAATTTAACACAACTTTGGGCACAAATTAGTAATAAAAGCAGTGTAAAATTTCCAAGACAAAGTCGGTACCGACACAGCTCAATTATCGAAGAATTCAATAAATTTTATTTGTAATTGATTTATGCAGTGGTTTTTTCATAAAACTCCTTCTTCCAAAGGCCTTTTCGTATTTTTTTTACGCGCGCGTGTTTAATAATGTTTCCCCCCGGTGCGGGAGGACGACACTTACACACACATGCATGCGCGGTGACGCGCGCTTATTCTAGTTTTATTCGACTCAGTCAGCTGCGGCCCGTGACGTTCGTATGACTATAGCTATACCTGCGCTCTAAATTACTACGCTACATTGACCCCTGCTTGAACTATGGATTTCGATACTACTCTGTTTGGCATAGAAATTGATATTATTGAAAGAGATGATGCGTTTTGGACGGCAGACAAAATTTTAAAATTAGATAGCTTTTATCAGAAATTTGTTTTGCCGGAGCTAATAGATCCCCGTTACCCTCGAAAACTACAATTTATAGATCGAATGTAAATCAAATTGATATAAGCACAGACAAAAATAGCGGAATATAAATAAAATTTTGAAAAAAAAAACGATCTCAAAATTTTATTAATGTTCCGCTAATTTTATCTGTACTTACCTATGTCAATTTGATTTACATTCGATTATAATTATATTCTCAGACGTGCAGGTTTCCTCAATATGTTTTCCTTCACTGCCGAGCACGTGGTAAATCAGCACAATTGCAATTAACAATTTCATTGGTGCCGGCGGGGATCGAACTCGGGTCTGCATGTCTGAGAAATTAAAAAATATATATTTCGAAGACATGTGAAGTTCGTCAACATGCATTGAGGCAGCGTGGCGGACATTTCCTTGCCTTAAAACCCTCTCAGAAATTAGAGGAGGCCTGTGCCCAGCAGTGGGACGTATATAGGCTGTAACTTTACTTTTTTTACTTTTATAAATATATTATTTTACCGACGAAAAATTTAAAAAAAAAATAATAAGCAACCGACAACCTCCTAGGTCCCTAGGTGACTTGCGAGATGTCAGTGTAACATAACAAAACGGCCCAGAAAAACAGACTTTCCAACTGATAGCTAAATCAGCACGCAACAATTTCATTGGTGCCAGTGGGGATCGAACCCGGGTTGCTCGTTATAAGTATCACATTACGGGAGTACTGTGATACTTATAACGAGCGCTAACCATGTGAGCAACCACGGCTCTCAAAGACATCTATGAAATCTCACATTTATGAAATCTATCATGTTTTTATCATCACCTCCTTATCAAGTATACATATGAATCTTCTTATGACGAAATAAAGTGTTCGTCACAAAAATATTACTTTCCACACATACGTTGAGGAGGCTTTCACCATTCTCATTAATACTTTCATCACCAAACGTTCCCAGTATCCTTTCATATCCTCCTCACCCCAACCCTAACATAACAATATTTTCATTTTCCTTACATTTCATTAATACCATCCCTACCATCTCCTAAAACTGCTCTCGGATATAAGTGGGCTTACACATGTCTTGGGCGTAGACCCCTAGAGCAAACAACTTCTTTAGGTCCACTTTTGTTCGTATCCGTAGCAGTTTCGGGCTTACACATTCATACTCTTTCACACATTGACCCATTCTTTCTGAAATTATGATACCGACTCCCTGGCATGCCCGCTCGGTCTCGTCTACACCGGACCAGTACGTGGTATATATGCCATGTGTAGTGACATCCTTTCCCTTCCGTTTCGTCTAATTTACACATAACACATCTATTCCTCTATCATACATCATATCGCATACTTCATCTATCTTATCATTCAAAGCTCCACATACATTCAGTGTAGCTAGACGGGCCTCCGCAATC